TCAGTACAATTCGTCGGTAGCTGAAAGGCTCAATTTAGTCCTAAAACTAATTACAAAATAAAAAATTGTGTAAATAATCATTGTATACTTCTGCAACATTTATTGAACGGAGCAGCACATAAATACACATACAGCATTTATTCTGTATTTATTTATTTGCAAATAAATACCCACCTAATATAATTTTCTCGTAGTGATCATATACTATCATAAAATAAATATTCAAAATACAGTCTGCTCAAAATATTATGTTGAATCAGCCAGAATCAGTTCATGCCAAGAAGTTCTTAAAATAAGATACCCTTTAGGACTGTTTGGCGGTGTTCGGAATTCTTTGACTTGATTTCAAATAAAGCTAGTAGTTTTCTCATCTTATTTAACCTGGGTCCAAATATGATTTTATGTTTTATATAATATATGTTTTGTCCTTAGAGCACTCTGATATTAATAATACCTTTCACTTAAATTTCAGGGAACATTGTAAGTTTTAGATTTCCTTTTTAATCGAAAGACCAGAGATCAAGACATTTTTGTCTTACAAGTGCAACGGCTTACTTGGATACAATAGCAACAAAAATTAAAATAACAAGAAATAAACAAGACGACAAAATGCACTCAAAAAAACCGGATGGAACTACACTTAAAATTGTCCTCATCCGTAAGTAAGATTTAAACCCATAAAGCATGTTTAATAGTTTTCTCAACTTTAACGACGAGATGTAGTATCCACAATATTGTGGTGTTATCTATAGGCGTACCTTGAACCAATCGCATAGGACCAATCACTTACCAACCAGCAATGTTGATTGACCAATGGCTATCAATTACAGCAGGGCCTGCTGGAACGTGGAGTAGATGCTTGACTAATAGCTTCCTCTAAACTGTATTAGATACTAAATATACTTCCTTGTAGATTCATCATCTTTGGATCAGCAGCAGATAGTAATTTTAAGTCAGCACGGTTTAAGTTGTAGGTGTTGTGTTTACTAAATCGGTTTCTTATCATTTATGTTTTAATAGAATATAACACTTTTTATAGGTTACTGCAAACGTAGGAAAATGAGGAAAATATCCCCATGGTTTATTATTCATGTAGATCCGTTTAAGATTATTGTACGATTTGTTTTTGCCCGTGTACATAAATGTTGTGATGTTATTTTAGTAGTACAGTAGAGTCTTGTCATTTAAACGTTACAAATGTTGGGGAAATCCAACAAACGATCTATTAATCACCCATTTGCATTAAAGACGAAGAGTAAAACATTAATTGTGGTAAAAATATAATTTTTTACTTAAATATTAGGAAGATTAATACGAACAATTCATAGGCATCATTTAAACATATTAAAACTATATTAAAACACTATGGGGTTTTATTATTTTGAATCCTTATTTTCAATAATTTTAAAAACTTTGAACTTCCTTTCTTCCTGAATCGTAGAGAATAAATGTTACCTGTGCCAGCAATCATTCAAAGGTAGAGATCAAAGTTCCAAAGTCAGAAACAAACTTACAGAGTTTAATAGCTTTCGTAAAATACTCAAGTTTCCTGAATACAAAAACTAAGAACTAGTCATGGACCTTTAACAATGTTTTACAATTATACCTTCTCAGATTAGCCTTGTGAAATAAAATAGTAAACCAATATGTCTACTTAACAATTGCACATGGATGTTTGTAGAGAAGACAATTGCTTGATAATCTGATTGTTTTACTAATATTAGGGATACCATTCGCGTGTAAATAGGATTTTAATAAACCCTTTAATTCAGTTTAATACCAACCCATCCACTAGCTACTAGGGGATATTACTTTTAGGAAACAGAGTAATTTTCAAAAGTACATAGCAAATAAAATTGATTATTAACTGCATTTAGTCCGTTAAATTTGAACATTGAATATTGCTTGGTTGGTAGGCCTATATACGGTTAAAACATGATAAATAAAATTTAAGACCTTGGTATACGATCTATTCAATACAGAATTCCTACAATGGCACCTAAGTAAAGAAAATATTTATATGATCTAATAAACCTCTTTACATCAGTATATTCAATCGAATAACTACCTACTTAATTATTCTGATTTTAATCATAGTTATCACTTTATGTATTACAAATTAAATTTTGTTATTAAATACATTCCAAACTAATATGTTATGAGCTATTAAGCTGTCAAAACGTTAAATAGCGTTTCTTGGTTTATAGCGAAGATCTCCCTTTTAAGGGAGAGCAGTAACATTGACAGACATAGGAACTGCATTAGAACTTCAGAGAAATCCAAGTATGTCTCTTAATTGATACATTACTGTGGATCTATTAGCGAACAACTGTAGATATAACATCTCTAAGTTCTAAAACAAACAACAGTGTGTTGTTATCGTGACGAGCAATATACGATCTACGATGATATGTTTCATTTAATCAAAAACACACACTTAGTGCAGATTTAAGCAAATGTATAGGTACTAGACAACACATTATTAGTCAGGATATATTTAATCCGTATAATTTCAAATCAAATTACGATACATGTTTTCTTGGTTTTTATATAAATGTTGAAAAAGTAGTATGTAATTTTCTCTTAAAGCAGACCAAAGATTAAAAGATTATAATGTATGCAGAAACCTATGGTCACGCTTCAAACATTCTTTAACTCGATGATTTTAAACAATAAATATTATAAATTGCATAAGTTAAAAAATTATGTATAACTTCAACAATTATAACAACTGAGTATAGATTACATCACTAAAATATTATTATAATGACAAAAGTATAGCCTACAGGACGTTTTTCTCCAAGATTATGAGAAAAGTCAGGGAACAATAGGTATTTCGAAAATAATGGAAAAATATTAAAAAGACAATCAAATTAATGGAAGAATGGAGAATTTTCCTTTTTAAACACATTTAGGACTAAAAAGAATACATTTCCTTCAAACAAAGATTTTACAAAAGAAACGTTAAATGCATGTTTTACGATTTGAACAATAGAAGAATAATGTATCTCTCAACAACAATTATAAATCAATAGAAATAACCTAGTACCGTATTACCGTATACATTAATAGGTAAGCCTATTGTCCATTTAATTGTTACAATGTTTGGTCTGTTTTTATTGAAATTTATTGATAATCTACTAACAACATATATATTTACTTTTACTTTAAAACATGGCAGTGACTAATTACTAGATAAACAAACAACACATACAAAACGGGCATTACACATAACTTATTTCCAAGAGAGATCGGTTGCTAAAGAATTCACAATGTGCAAAGATCCTGAGCAAAGAGCACGATACACTGTAAAGGGGTCGGAAACGAAATGTTCAAAGCCGGGTGGGTTTTTGCCTGACTTTTACGAGGGGCCGAACAGTCGGATGCTCCACAACCCCTGTCAAACTACAAAGGTCCGAATATCAAATGAGACCCTTTCATTCTTAAACGGCCTCCCAAAATGGCTAAGCCAACAGGATCAATAATTGATCGGCATCCCTAATATAGGGGTTTGTTTCGTTGAGAATTTGTTTTTTTATTTATGTTTGTATTTGAAAGTCTATATAGTTGAAACACCAGAATAATTGGGAGTACAAATCAGACAGATTAAGGAGATCTGTGATTTAACTAAACAAACGATCGTAACAATTAATTTCGGGAGAATTTTTGTATTATTAGTGTAAAAATATGTATATAAATAGTCATGATAATTACCTGTAGTATAAATGAACTTGACATCTGAAGTAAATTGAGTGACAGAACCATGAAATCGACAGTGACGAATTTCTACTTAATTTTTTCATATGAAGATATCTTTTATCAACATAATTAGTCTATTAATGAATCACATATGTATAAACAACACAAGCTACCTACATATTTTGTATCATAAAGGCAATTGAAAATTAAATGTCTCGTACCGTTAATCTGTAATCAGTTTTAAAGAAAATGTGGATTCTTTGATCATATTTAGTAGTGTTAAAATTGTAGTTAAAAAGGAACATTTCTCTTTGAACTTATATTCGTACCGTAATTAATCAGTTATGCGTTGTACTAATTGTAGTCGTTAGTAAATCCCATAAGATATTGTTATAATTAATAAGTCCTGTTCATGTTTGATATAATAAATTTAGATCTGGCAATTTATACGTTTATGTATCTAGTTATCAATAGATGAAGTAGATCGTACACGAGCAACGTGTGTTTAAATCGTTGTCCTTGACAGGCCAATCTTATCTTTGTCATTGGATGAAGACAATAAACACGCTGAATTTAGACGTTGTTGTTACTTTTGACGATGTATAAAACTACTACGTGACAAGAGTCGACAATTCTACAAGAATGTTGAGAGTTCGAGTAAGTTGTAATCTAGATTCTAGGACGCGAGTCATGATTTCAAGTATTTTCGAATTTTTGGACAATTATATATAAGTTAACTCTTCAAAAGTTTTTACTGTACATACATTTGTTTCGCCAATGCATAGGAAAAAGTTCAATTTAACCCACAGTAAAACTTAAATAATTCTAGCAATATCAAACAGATGCGCTAAATTTAACTAGCTGTTTAAAGAGTAAACGTTATACTGTATAAACTTAAAAAAAGACCAAACCTAAGTTTTTGAAAAAAAAGTATTCAAACCCGTAAGGAAGTTATTGGAAATGAACCGTGGAAATGAATGTCGAAATGAATTTATTTACTGTATTCTATAATAACCTTGGTTTTTAGGTGGTGTTCAATCTACTGTATAAAGCCTGGATATAGGAAGACGATATAGGTGATCTTTTATGACAACATGGCAAACGAACAGCGAAAATGGTTTCACCATTGAATACAAGCCACAATGGTTTGTTTATTTCGATACTGCTTACTGTTGCATGTTTATGTATAATACATAATTCATCAACACTTGTTCCCAGGGTATTTTTTTTAAGCCCCAAGTTTCATTTCCAACTTTAATCCAGTAAGCTTAGAACAAGGAAACAAAACTCAACTAGCCTACCTGATTGAATGCCAGGCACCGCTACGAGCAGCAGCATCCAGACACACACGTCAAAACCGGGTGCACTAGCCATATCGATGGTTCAAAACAACGGTTCAGGTCAACAAAATGGCGCAGCGGGAATCGGCATCCCTACCGCACAACACAATCACTGCATCACTAGCACAAAACAGCTGATCACAACTGTTACATTGTTGTCACCGCTGCTACCTTGACAGTTGCCCAGACGTAACGGTTCCTCAGACAAACGGATATGGTTCTCGCTCGAATTCTCGCACTCAACTGACTGAGCAAGAGAGCGAACGGTCGGTGGTGGCCGAGCGTGAAGAGAGGGGAGCTACGCCATCTGGGAGAAGTTCCATCAGCTGACTGTGGCACGGGCTACATGCTACGTCACCTACTCGAGCCAATGTCAAGTACGCGAGAGCAAAAAAGGGTGAGATTTTTTGTTAGCGTTAGCACTCGGATTTGGAACTGTTGAAAATTTGTTCCTTCGTTTAAAAACTATTCGTAGAGGTTTTGTACGAAATACATTTTCGAAATAATAGTCTGCTTCATATAACTTTCTTAAGGTGTTTTAAATTGTCTTATTGTTGTATTTAAACTTTAAAAGTCACAGAAAGCGTTGGCTTTGTCTCTAAAGTTATTGATGCTTGGAAAACACACGTAGATATGGATTAGCAAAAATAATTTTTTGTATTAGGGGAAAAAATGCCAAATTGGCATGTTTTGTCATCTGAATTGTTTTGTAAAAGGTTGATGCTTGGAAAAACCCATATTTGTGTCCAATCTAATAAAATGTAAAATGTAGATTAAATCCAAAGTGGTGTCATCAGTTGTATTAGATACTTACATTTTGTCGATGTTTTTACTCTAAGATGGCTAGTTTCGAAGTAAGGCTATCATTGCTCCGGTTTCAAAACTAATAAACGACCGTCAAAATCTTCAAGAAACATCGTCACAACCAACACAACCTCCCGTGCATTCTGAAACGGTTTCGGTCTATTTGGTCAGTCATGCAAATCTGGTTTCAAGATCGTACGTTCATGTTTGTATACATCCGTTCAAATCTTTCTTGACAGTGACGAAAGGTACGTAACTTTCATTATAATTATTAATAATTTTTGTATAATTCAACGTGGTTTTATTGCTAAGAATGAAAAATTGTGCACAAAAAAAGGACGAGAAGTTCTATGAATTAACTACACAAGATATACTTCTATCTTCCACTTTGCTAGTTTGTTTGTACTTTGTTAAATAACTACCAAATAAACGTTCAAAGTGTTTATTGACGAATTCAAAATTTGAATATTTCCGATTGACTGCATAGATACATTGCCTTCCTACAATATATGTTTGCAAAGACACTAGATAGGCTCGAGATATAATAAGCTTGGGAATTGAAGTTAAAAACCAACATTCATTTCACAGCATAATGCGACTAAATTCAACACAATTGCTGTGTATATAATAAGAATTGGTTGAAGGTATAAACGAATCATTAAATATGATTTTAGCATGCCTCTTTTATAGTTTTAATGTAAAATAGATTTAAAATTATGGTAATTTCCACTAATTAAGTGTATGTAAAAGATATGACCATAACACTTTATTAATTCAAAAATATTGATACTAATTCCAACGTTATCATAGTAGAATATTTAATGAAAACGTTTTATAGCTATATCCCCGTACTACTAACTAACGTTGTCTATCTCCTTTTACAATGGCATTATGATAAAGAAGTCACTTATTGAAGTCTGTTATTTTTCATCTGTTATTGGTTTTTGAAAAATTAATTTTTTCGACCTCGCCTTCATTGAACTCAATTTGAAAATTTGATTGTTTGTTAGATGTAGTAATTTTTAAGTTGATAAATTGATACGGTTTAGATCAATCAAACTGTGAAATTGGACATTATATTCAATGCCATAATATTTATAATATTTTTGTATTGGTGTATCGCCGTTTGCAATAAATAAATAAAAGTCAATAGCCTAACTGAAATGTATTTGAACACATATATAAATGGAATATATGGTTTTTCACTTTAATTTATTATTAGGGAAGATCAGCTGTTTTTGTCACAATCTTACGTCAAAAGCCCAATCAAGGACAGATCTTATTTCGAACCGAGTTACCGACCAACCTCAGGATCTAACAGACAACCTTCAACTTGGTAGTCCTGTAATACAACAACTCATCTGAGTGACTTTGCTTTAATTACCAACCTTGCAAAATTAATTCAATAACACGCTCTAAAACAAATAATCATATGTAAAAATTAAACCAAAAACAAATCAATAGGTACATATAAAGTTATTTGCAATCCTACGTAACCACTTTCCAATGGTTCACTACCCACCTATCCATCCGCATCCCACATTGATCCGTTTCTTCGAGTAAATTTCCTAAGTCGGAACACAAGAAAACGAGGACAAAGTTGTTTCTTTAGACCAAACAAAGGTGTTGACATATCGAATGCAAATATTAGCCACTTGAGGGCAGTGCCCCGCTGTTGACATAACGCTGTTGGTTCCTGATAGGAAAGCCGGTGTGCGGTCTACTGCTCGTGCTACGAATAGTTGGCTCTAGTTGACATAACACTGTTGGTTCCTGATAGGAAAGCCAGTGGGCGGTCTACTGCTCGTGCTACGAATAGTTGGCTCTAGTTGACATAACACTGTTGGTTCCTGATAGGAAAGCCGGTGGGCGGTCTACTGCTCGTGCTACGTATAGTTGGCTCTAGTTGACATAACACTGTTGGTTCCTGATAGGAAAGCCAGTGGGTGGTCTACTGCTCGTGCTACGAATAGTTGGCTCTAGTTGACATAACGCTGTTGGTTCCTGATAGGAAAGCCGGTGGGCGGTCTACTGCTCGTGCTACGTATAGTTGGCTCTAGTTGACATAACACTGTTGGTTCCTAGAACAACAAGGCTCCTGGACCGGATGGGGTACCTGGTGAGGCCCTGAAGAAAGTATTTTCAATAAATCCACAAATCCTTTTGAGCACGTACAATGCCTGTCTGGCCGAGGGGAAGTTTCCCTTCTGCTGGAAAACAGCTAGGCTTGTGCTCGTGGGGAAGGGAAAAGGAAACCCAGACCTACCCTCTTCTTACAGACCTCTCTGTATGTTGGACACTGCTGGGAAAGTCTTGGAAAAGTTGATCCGTTCTCGACTGAATTCAGCCGTGGTTACTGCAGGAAATCTATCCCCTCGTCAGTACGGCTTCAGGAAGGGACGGTCAACGGTTGACGCTATTGAGGAGGTAAAGCGAGCCGTAATGAGAGCTGAGGAGTTTAACAACTATTCTCGTCGGGTTGTGCTGCTTGTAACACTTGATGTGCGAAACGCATTCAACTCCGCGAGGTGGTGCGTTATGCTGAGTGCGTCCAGCATATCGCACCACCTCGCGGAGTTGAATGCGAGAACACTTTCCACGTCCCGGCATACCTCATGCGCATGATAGAGGACTACCTCCGGTACCGCCTCATCATTTACGACACTACAGAAGGCTCCAGGACGATGGATGTAACTTCTGGTGCTGCTCAAGGATCCATACTGGGCCCGGACCTCTGGAACGTCGCCTACGACAGCCTCTTGAGATCCGAGATGCCTGAGGAAACTGTCCTAGTTGGGTATGCAGATGACGTTGCGGCTTTAATAGCTGCACGTAGCATTGAGCTTGCCCAGCTGAAACTAAATCGAGTAATGCGAACCATAAACGCATGGATGGCAGAACATGGTCTCTCGCTCGCTCTGAGCAAAACTGAGATTGTGATTCTGACTAAAAAGAGGATTGACACCATCGTGCCTTTGATGGTGGGGAACGTTGAAGTCCAAACCACTCGTGCCGCAAAGTACCTTGGGGTCATGGTGGACAGCAAGCTCAGCTGGCGAGACCAGATCACCCGTACGGCGGACAAGGCCGCTAAAATGGTTTCTTCCCTTAGTCGGTTAATGGCAAATGTCGGAGGTCCGCGGTCCAGCCGCAGAAGGCTGTTGATGTCTGCGGTCCAGTCCGTGCTCCTGTACGGTTCGGAAGTCTGGGCAGACGCTCTCAACAAGGAGATATATAGGATGCGGCTCGCCCGATAGTGCAGCGTCAGGCAGCACTAAGGGTAGCATATGCCTATCGAACAGTGTCCGAACCCGCCGTCCTGGTGGTTGCTGGAGTCATCCCCGTCAAACTTTTGGCGGCGGAGAGGAAGGCAATTTATCAGCGCCGTGGGGAGGACCAGGCAAGAATTGAGGAACGCACCCGGACCTTCCAGCTGTGGCAGGAGAGCTGGGAACAGGAGACAAGGGGGCTCTGGACCAGGCGACTGATACAACAGGTTCAACCTTGGGTTAATCGGCGGTGCGGAGAGATGAACTTCTACCTCACCCAATTTCTGACGGGTCACGGCTTTTTTCGGTCGTACTTGTTCAGGATGGGCAAAGCCGTGTCACCCGATTACATATACTGCCCAGGCATTCCCGATGACGTGGAACACACTTTCTTCCACTGCCAGCATTGGGAAAGGCCCCGCCTAGAGGCTCAACAGTTCGTAGGAGTGCTGTCGGTGGACACGGTCATACCGATGATGATGGAGGGTGAGGACAATTGGACCTGTGTGTCACTTTACATCCAGGGTGTTCTCCGCGCCAAGAAGCTTGACCTCGACCGGGATGCGGTGTAGGTCAAGAAAATAAATAATGCCAGAAACGGTGCGAGCCCTGTGGGCTTAGGTCACATGTTGGCCTGACTTGAAGTAATGTGACAAACAATTCCAGGTCTGTGTCCAACAGAGTAGAGGGGGTTTTTTAGTGAGTAGTCTGTGATAACCTCAGGAGTCTCACACTACAGGCTGGCTACCTGTGTGCGTAAAAGCATTTTCCCTCCTCACCCTAAAAAAAAAAAAAAAAAAAAAAAAAAAAACTGTTGGTTCCTGATAGGAAAGCCGGTGCGTGGTCTACTGCTCGTGCTACGAATAGTTGGCTCTAGTTGACATAACACTGTTGGTTCCTGATAGGAAAGCCGGTGGGTGGTCTACTGCTCGTGCTACGAATAGTTGGCTCTAGTTGACATAACACTGTTGGTTCCTGATAGGAAAGCCGGTGGGTGGTCTACTGCTCGTGCTACGAATAGTTGGCTCTAGTTGACATAACACTGTTGGTTCCTGATAGGAAAGCCGGTGGGTGGTCTACTGCTCGTGCTACGAATAGTTGGCTCTAGTTGACATAACACTGTTGGTTCCTGATAGGAAAGCCGGTGGGCAATCTACTGCTCGTGC